GAGGACACTTTTAAATTTCATATGAAGAAAATGGTAAGACTACAACTATATTTTATGCAGGTGTTTACAACACCAGAGTAAGTAAACTCACTCATAAGTACTACATGTACTAGTATTGTTTCTCCTATTGTTTAGCTTTTTAGAGCTACAAGTATTACTATTGTTTCTCATATTGTTTATCTTTTGAGAGCTAAGCGAACTATTATTTTTCACATATTGTTTAGCGCTTAAGAGCTACATGAACTAGTATTATTTCTCCTATTGTTTTTTTTCTTTAAGAACTACATGTACTATGATTATTTCTCCTATTGTTTTGCCTTTAAGAGCTACAAGTACTAGCATTGTTTCTCATATTGATAAGCCTTTGAGAGCTACATGCACGTGTATTGTTTCTCCTATTATTTATTATTTTGCCTGCCCAAGAATGGTGGTCATGATCATAATATTATGATCATGACTAACAGCCGAGGACAGACAGCAAATCGTGATATTGCCCGAATGACCATGTGTTATTTATTTTATCACATCAAACATACACCCATCCTGCACAATTACATCTACTATACATCACTCACACCCACTCTCCCACGGAATAACAACACTTACATGTATGTAATATTTGTTTTTATGTATTATAACAAGTTTCACATTACCAAATAGCATACATACATTGTTTGCTGGAAAAACCGCGAAATACACGGTAAATGTTATTTTCAGCCATGGATACTCTTTTTAGTAACCGTGTTTAGGCAGTATGAATCACTCAATTTATTGTGTATAACATTTTTAAAATGAATTGAGAAATCTCTAACGCAAGTTATTTGACCACTGCCAGATAAAAATGTCGTGCCGTGGAAATGAAAAACGTACCACAACGTCCACTCACAATCATTCAGGTTATAATTTAGAGCGTTTTCGGTGAACATAGAGATAATCATAGTGTAGAACGCGCCATATAGATCCCAGCTGCGATGTTTCAATAGCTGCCGTATATTTTTGCTTCATATACATAATACCTTAAACATCAAAACGGATTATCTTACTTAATATTTATTCTGGCAAGTTAGCTGTCTATTTAGGATGGCTAAAGTTCCTCAAAATCCTTGAAAGCAACCCCGAAAGCAACAGCGTCTGGGCAGCACCATTGCAGCAAACGACAATTTGTTATGCGCAGTGTCGCTGTGCAGTAGTTTCAGTAATGTCATCCATGTGATATACCCATGTAATATCAACTTGTCGGGCAATATACCGTGTAATATCCATTTTTATTTAATGTAATGTGACCGAGTCTCAACCAATCACAGTACGCGTAACAACAGTGAGATGTGATAATATTGTTTCTTCTATTGTTTAGCCGTTAAAAGCTACAAGCTTCTACTATTGTGTACCCTATTCTTCAGGCTTTGAAAGCCATATGTGTTAGTATTGTTTATCCTATTGTTTAGCATTTGAAAGTTACTTGTTCTAGTATTGTTTACCCCTTTGTTTAACCTTTGAAAGCTCCATGTGCTAATATTGTTTCTCCCAATGTTAAATGTCGCATTGTACATGCACATGTGTATGTCTATCCAATTACATGTATATTTTGTTTAGATTACTAAATTCGTATAATTTATTATTTACAGAAATGCAATCCCGGGATCTGCTATATGTGCCTATAATCTGACTGACGTCAATGCTGTTTTCAATAGTGGATGTTTGGAAAAAGAATCTGCAAAACATGCATGGTTTCCTGCAGAGGAAGATATGATTCCTGACCCAAGACCAGGAACGGTAAGTGAGACACATATTACTATGATATGAATGGATATATTCATTGACTCGTATTCCAACAAATATTTAAACAAGTTGTAAATTTTGACGTATTTTAAAGAGAATCTGTAAAACATAATGTAAATCACATTGAAAAGGATTATATGCATTGCTCACTTGCTATATGCCATTCTACTAATGCCTAGCTACAATGCTAGGAATATCTCATTATACATAGCCATTGACTGTAGATTTGTTTTAGTGATGAGAAAAGTGTTTAACATATATTATTTTATTACTCAAACAATGTGCATACATGTAGGTCTGAATAGTTATTGAGATTTTACTATCATTGTAACTACACTTTCTCGTCCAAATTTTTCACTATATCTGAAAATGAACCTAATTTTGGAGCCAGTAGACAAAATTTGGGTAAATTTTAGCTTTTTCTCAAACAATTTTGCTATTTTTGTTCCAATCTTTTGAAAGAAAGCACAGACTATAATCAGGAGTATTTTGTGAATTTTGATGAAACTCGTGATCAAAAGGACAATGTGGCCAGCTATATTCACTTAATTTACTTGTGTATATTTTATTACAGTGCGTTGACGACTCAACTAGTCACAGCTACAATGATCTACTATTTTTCAAGTCACACACATTGATGTCAGATACTCTCAAA